GCAGAGATAAGCCTTGGTAGGTGTAGTGTTATAGTGATATTAGGTACTTAAACATATATAACATACATAATATTTACAGATACAAATACGTACTTGTACTTAAATAAATACAAATATATAAATATATACATATATAAATAAATAACAATTACCTGACTATGCTAACTCTCTGAGAAACATTTCTAGAACCCTTGTTTTAAACGCTGTCAAATTAATTTAAAATAAATGTGTCCTTGCTTATAATTTAACTCATTATCGAGCATTGGTAATTTTATTGGTCCTTAAAATCGAACACACCAGTACCCATCAATCTTGAGTCTTGAAAATCCTTAGGGATGTTACGCTCAATTTCTGGGGCCGTTATTCAAAGACAGTCATGATATTATTGAAATTTACGTAGCGTTTTCTCTATTGCTGTCTATCACGCTTTTTTTTTATGATTGAAAGATTACTGGTGGGCCGAAGGCCTTTCCAGTTTCACCAGGACAGGTGGCGAGCAAATGCTCAGCCAGGAGGGGTGGGATTTGCTAACAACTGCCCGACCGCCTCCGGAGGAGACCTAACAACTCAAGAGCAATTGCTTCGCGAATGAATCTAATTCTATCACACGAGCCGTACTCTAACGATCTTAACAAAAAATTAATAATGCTCTTCTACGTCCAATGATTTCGAAGTATGCCGTGCGAATTTCATTAGTCTCGGTGTGAGTGCAAGACATTACGAACGATTACTGTACAGTCTGCGAGCGATTTCAGGGGTAAATGACCTGAATCAATGGTCCGTGTCGTGGTACCCAGGTATGGAGTCGGATTTTGTTTATTATTATTATTCTGTTTAGCTCGTTGACGAAATAGAGCTGTAGAATGGATCTAAGATCTTTGTAGGCATCAGTGGAAACACAAAATCAACACGAGATCAGTAACTGCGGAATAATTTTACTCTTCATTGCGATTTCCATTCCTTAATAGTTATAAGCTGTTAGAATATATGTATAATGAAGCTATTAGAATATACTATGAATATAAATATGTAGAATATGAAGATGAACTCCATATATTTTAGTTACTATAAATTTTCAGAAAATGTAATAATACGAATTACATTTTAATAAACTTGCTTTTAGGTATCTCATGTATTGATGAATAAATATATTATATTATAACCACGCAAGATGCCAAATAATTCGAAATTCCCTAGTTCAAGTAACACACAAAAAATGCGTTTCGCTTCGAAGGGTGAGCCCTAAAATGGAAGCAATAAAAAGCCTTGGTCGTGTCCATTTCTGGCACAAAAAGTAAGACTATATCTATCAGAGAACAGGCGGCTTTATCCATAATTCTCTGGACTCTGATAATCAATGAGTTCGAACTGGACCGCAAAATCGTCTACTCGTGTAGAGAACAAAACAGTTCCCAATGTGTCCCAATATGTCAGGTTTGTATCTCTTTAAGTCGTCGTGGCCTAAAGGACAAGACGTCCGGTGCATTCGTGTTGAGCGATGCACCGGTGTTCGAATCTCAGGCGGGTACCAATTTTTCTAATGAAATACGTACTTAAAAAATGGTCACGATTGACTTCCACGGTGAATGCGTTTCGGTTTGAAGGGCGGGGCAGCCGTTGTAAGCCGTTGTATATTGAGACCTTAGAACTTATGTCTCAAGGTGGGTGGCGCATTTACGTTGTAGATGTCTATGGGCTCCAGTAACCACTTAACACCAGGTGGGCTGCGAACCCGTCCATCCATCTAAGCAATAAAAAATATATTTTTGTATTTTTTTTTAATGCCCTTGTACGCAGACTAGCATACGGCCCGCCTGGTGTTAAGTGGTTATTGGAGCCCATAGACATCTACAACGTAAATGCGCCACACACCTTGAGATATAAGTTCTAAATTCTCAAGTATAGTTACAACGGCTGCCCTACTGTGATACTCCTCTACGTTGGAAGAAATTTCTTAATTTTCTTTCAAAACATACATTTTCTTTTTTCTTTTCATTTCAAGACAATTCGTTATTTTACTTAGTATTTTTTTTCTATATATTTCTTTCTGAACACGTAAATAAATAAACACAAACCTATTCCTCATTAGATACCTATTGGGTAATGGTTATTTTCAATCAAATAAATAAATAAAATTACGACAATGAATATTTCTTCGCAGGTTTGTTTGAATTGCCATAATACTTCTAAATGTTACACCTTACATCATAGTACGTTATAAAAAGATTAGATATTGGCGCGTATTTAATTCCTATGGTAATTTAGAATACCATTGTAACTAACAACTAAAGAATAAATTTATTTTAAACAAATTTAAACACCTCACGATACACTTTAATTTAAAAAAAAAAACATTTAAAAGACATTAACATATTTGAGTGATAAGGATAACCACGTGAACTTGTTTATTATTGAATGTTATTATATTTATTGTGTGGTAGACGAACAGCCCGTGGACATCAAAAATGTAAATGCCGTCACCCACTTTGAGACATGAATTTTAAGTCTCCGCTTTTTATTGAAGAACCACTGCCCCGCCCTTCAAATCGGAACGCATTACTGCTTCACTTCAGAAATAAGCGGGCGATACCTACTCATGCAGGCTCTTAAGGCGCCCACCAATACTACTATTAGCCCACAGAAGTCCACTGCTGTACATAAATCCCATGGTTAGACGCAATGGCCAGTCTTGCGCTGATTCAAAGTCCATCCATTAATACGAGTATTACGCATTATAATCTTATGCTACTATTCGAAAATAAAATTGGTATTTTTTATGTTTGTTGTTCAATCACGATTGGGATTGGACGAAATTTCGCACACATATAGTTTATGAACCGATCAACGCTTTTAAGATTTCGCTGATAGATTCTGCGAAGCATAGCTCTTGCTAGGGTTAGTGGTAGCAACAACGTCAGGCTTGAGGCTACACTGAAATGGTCTCTCAAGACAATCAGATTAGGTGGGAAAAACAAATCAACGCCGTATATATGTAACTGCCACAATCAACAATACGACAGAGTCTTCGCTGGTTCGTAATTTTACATACAAATGAATCTACAAATCGAACGGTAGTTTATGTTTTTTTTTTTTTTATTTTTTTTTTATGATTGAAGGATTACTGGTGGCCCGGAGGCCTTTCCAGTTTCACCAGGACAAGTGGGCGAGCAAAGGCTCAGCCAGGAGGGGTGGGATTTGCTAACAGCTACCCGAGCGCCTCCGAAGGAGACCTAACAGCTCAAGAGTAGCTGCTTCGCGAATGAATCTACTACCGGATCGGAATCGCGACCCGCTGAGAAGATCCGGCGAGAAACTCAGCGAGCTGATTCATGGGTTAGGTTGCACGGCGAACTCTTTGTCGAGTTCGACGAGTACGGTTACCGAGGTAGGTAGTTTATGTACCGAAGAGTGAGAAGTATGACTCCTTATCCTGTGTTTCATTGTTTCTGAATTACAAATTCAACCACGGGGCGCGTTTATGTGTTCATATATTATGACAATTGTGGTTATTTTTATAAACAATACAATACTACCATTATAATATCTGACAACGAACCACGTCCATGTAGAATATTATAACACCAAAAAGCCTATGGATTTCATTTATTTGTAGCTGTTGTATATTCCAGAAACGCACAGCAGTATGGAAAATATCAACTTTTTTTTAAAATACATAATTTGGGTACTACCGGAGATTCTTCTTTTTATTTTACTATTATGTCCCCAATAGCTCTACTATGAGATGTTTCAGGATTATCCATTCTTTCTGGGACACCCTGTATACATATGTATGCACGAACGAACCCTACAGACGTTGTCCTGTACACGTCTTAAATCTGTTCTTTTTTTTTAAATAATTGACAGATCATTTTCCAGTGGAGCGAATTGTGAATCTCAACTCGAATACACTTGAACTTTTTTTAAGCAAAATCGGTCCAGCCCTTTATCTCGCAGAAGCATTATATTTATTAAGATACACCTTTTTGGTTTCCCCGTCGTTAACTAAAATTAAGCGTCCTAAAATGTTGCTACATATCTTGAAATTTGTTTTGAGTTTTATTTAATCAGATTATACCAATCGCGATACAATAACGTACTTGAGTCATTTCGGATTCAGAGCTTGCGATGAATAATAGAGTCAAAAATGCTTAAGAGTGCAAATGAACCAATTTAATATACTTTCAAATAAAATTGAGGAAATAATATGTATGTACAGCAACAAATAACTAAAATGTAAAGTAATTTCAATGCCGGCCTTCTATTGGATAAATTATTCCAATTATAATGTCAGTTTACTAGGTTACAATCAACAGCAGTTCAATATTTAACACGAGTAAATAACTGAAGGATGTTTGTTAGCGTCCGCGGGCGGAAGATGTTAAAAATACAATTTACGATTTTTGTTTTTATAAGTTTGTAGTTGTACACTAAATATAGCGTGGGTGCGGTCAATCTTTCAATGAAATTTTTGTTGAGGTTTGTTAAACTTTTGTATAGTACTTTAGCGGTTAAAATAATGAAATCTCTCGAATAGATCTAGATTTTTTTTACTTGCCGATATTCAAATAGTACGTTACGATTATGATTATTACCCACTGTAGCCAGGCATTGATCTTTGGTGCGGAATTATGGTATGTAGGACACCGCCGCCACTGGCCCGTTGGGAGCTCCGGTATGCAGTACAAGAAATCTATTTTTTAACGCGCCAACTAATTATCTGTTAGAAAATTTCGCTTCGTGCCTTAAACGGCGGCATAATGTGCAACGTGCACTTTCATTTCACAGCTTAGAGCATTTCGGCTCTCATCCGCGTTCGTGTATTTGAGTCATCGCGTGTCAAAACATAGACATTTTCACGTGAAACAAGCAAGCGCGGCGTGAATTAGAGACGTTGCAGCATCCGAAAATACAGTAACTATATTTAGGTGTTTCGGATATATAATTTTCAGTGCGTCGCATTTACGGTGATTAAGACAAAGTAGCTAGATGGTAATACTCACCAGAATCTTGCGCTCGCATTTTACGTTACAGCGGTACGCGGATGCGTGTTTTATTTCACTGAAATTTATATTCGTTGGCACCGCTCGTCGCTCGCGCAGATTCCGGTCGTGTGGCGCCCGCCCGGGCGGTTTGCCGACTGACGAAGCGACGCGCGCTCACATTAACCGTCTCCGAGTTAAAACTCTCATTATCACAGTGTCCTTCTTTAAACTATAAACCTTAGTTTAAGCCATCAATCGTGTAGTTCATTTAAAACTGTATTTCCTACGACAACATTAACACGTGTAGATCATTTTAAGATTGCAAAGTATCTCAGTGTCGAGACTGTGCTGTGGTTGGATAACGAGTGCAACACACAGAGCGTAGTTGGAAAACGACGCTAACGCAGTCGCTGAACTACTCAAGCATTGAATCAATGTTTGTTCGCTCTACATAGTGCCGCTTTGGTAACCATTGTCCGAAGAGTAGCAGACTAGCACTGATGTTATAAGTAGTAGTTTCTTTTTTGTAAAACTGGTAAAGCTAAAGTACTTTCACGTTCACATTTATTTGCCTTTAAAATTCGAGTGCAGTGTATATTTTTGGCGTTTGAGCTGTGCTGAAATATTATTGCTTTAAACAAGACTGCGCGCTCGAAATTTTCTACGTGTTACAGATAAAACTAAACCAGAATTGCAATAACATAAGACAGTGAAAGAATAAATAGCATTCATCAATGTTTTAACCGTGCCGAAGTTGCATTGCCCACTCAATAGAATAGCAATACCTACATGACGTAATTCGCATTGGCAACACTAGTTTGAACAGCCTCAAATTCCTGACAAGTGTTAAGGACGTGTTAATCCAACATCCACCCACATCGTAGACGAAGGCAGTCACGTTAGTGAAAGGAAACCTATAATTTTATACAATATTTGTTCGCGAAGGTTAATTCAATAAAGATCTCTTGTTGGTCATAATATCCTGCATGTTTCTGTTGCCAGATAAGTAGTTCGAAGGATCTTCCATCAATAGTTTTGGATATTACTAAAGATCACGTTCGAACGAATCGCAATTACACAATACTTACTGCATTGTCTCAGCCTTTTACTCTTTGTCAGGCATTATCCCTCCGAGATTAGCCATTTAGGTTAAGTTACAAGCGTCACAATTTTTATAGCAGTTCAATTTTATTACTAAAGCCTGATACGACCACGCAAAGGTGGAGCCTTGGCTCCTTGTATACTCCTAGGGATTCGGACTCATTTCGTAGGCATAACAAGTGACAAGTACAATTATATGTACAATACACTATGTATACACGATCCCGTCCGGGCGTAACTGGAACTAGGCTAACAGCGAATAGAAAAAAGAAAAAGAAAAAAAACAATACAATAAATGTACATTAATTAGGCACTCTTAGAGGGGGGTTTAATGATGAATCGAGCAGGTGGATATTGTAATTCTTCAACTGCGAGATCCTTTTGTTTGGTTTAACGAGTTCCGCACACTTTTTGACATTTGATGACGGATCTGATAACGGGGTCATGTTTTTCGACTTTTCAAACGCAATTTTCTTTATTATTTACACACATGATTGTGGTTACAGCTACCTATGTTCTTCATTCTTGCCTATTTATTGTACGATGCGACGACACGCGTTAGCCGCCATGTCTTCTGGGTTGGAAGATGGGATGATCCTTATATATGGACTTCGACTGCATATTTCAAGGTGAGAGGTTCCGTGATCTACTCCGGTAACCAATTAAAAGCAGGTGAGCAGTAATTCCGGAATTCTTGTATGCTTCACGGAATACCTTAGTGGACTGTCTCAACATCAATTCCGTGTTCTAGCCTTGTCCATAATTACGCTAATAATTAAATAAAAAAACATGGATAATTAACTACGGAATGAGATTTAAAAAGAAAACAAAGTAGAAAATAATAGTTTATTGCGGTCACGAAACTACTACACAAGTTTTTCGTATAAAATACAATATAATCTATTCAAATGAGGAATGTTACTAAACTAAAAAAAAAGAACTAAAAATGGCCTACTTATAAAAGAAAAAATATAAATAATTAACAAAAATTGGTTACATTTAATAAACGTTCTTTATTAAACATTGATCCTCACGGGTTTATAATTTTTATGGTAGTTTTTAAGATTCCATTTATAATTTTTGTGGTAGTTTTTAGACTCCTTTGCGTTTCTCCCTTAAAACCATTGAGGCGTCTAAAATGTACAAATTTCCAGAGACCACTTTAACCAATTAGTAAGAAAATATATTTAACGATTCCTATGGATGAGTTTACTCAAACACACGGACCGACTGTAATCTTTATGTATATTAATTTTACATAATTAGACAAGGTACAACATTTTTAGATCTTTCGATGTTTAGATGTAAGTTATTTATGGACAGTTACTGTGCTTTTTAATAAATAGACACTTACCTTGAATGGCCTGGATTCTTCGGTTCCCAGCAAAGGTGACCTCCAGTCCGTACTACACATGACCCACCAATGCGACATTCAAAAACATTTCGATTGAGGCAACTTTTATACTTATCTGTTACAAATTCGGTAATTGATTTTTATTATCATACTAATTCTTGCTGACGTATACTTTGTAAGAAATATTATACATTACATTTTTTCGGGGTAGATTTAACTTTCTCTATATCGTCTTCTATGACATTAACAGTGTTATAACATTTCTAACAGGCTACGAACGTATGGAAAGTAAGCGATACTTGTCCATTATCCGAATACTGCACTGCGATGTCGAGTTTTAATACTATAATTACGAACTCACAAAACCAAATAAATTCTACTAATTGAGGAATAGTTAATCTCGTCTGGCAACCTTTTACGTTCGTAACATACTTTAATGTTGCCATTATAAAAAACGCAAAGTACGACACTAAAATTCATTTTATAAATAATTATGTTACAATTTATCATTCGATACTTTTCTTTATATGCGTCAACCGTTTATTATTTTGTAACATTCACGATGACAGTACCACTCACTATAATTATATAATCTTACGAAAACTAATCCGGAATCTTAATTAGACCAGTTAAACGAGCAATTAGAACACAATTAAGAACAATCGCATCATCTCATTGTTTTTCTTTTTAATAAAGGACGTAATTAAATGTTTACATTCACGTACGTGCACGTATCTAGATATATTTCTAAACAAAAGAATATTGGTCATAAAATATTAAAATTCTTTCTATGAATAAAAAATATATATTCTCAGCTACATAATAAAAATGTAATAGCAACATTACAGTGCTGTATGCAGACAACACGTGTACGTATTTACGCTTCATTTAAACATTTAATTACGTCCGATATATAATAATAATATATATCGCCTTTTCGCATTAAAAGTGTACAATTTCCAAAAATATTCGAAATTGAGTTAACATGCGTAAACATATTTGTGGTACCTATCACCAGTATTTTTCTAATAAACACTGTCAAAAGAGCGTAGTTTAGTTTTATTATTTTTTATTTTTAGTTTATCTATGTTTTGACTACTATTAACAAAATTAATACATAATTTTATCTTACTTTAAAAGACAGATAATTTAACTGGTTAAAAAATAAAAAATAAACGTTGCAAAGATGATTAATATTAAAAATATCACATGTTAAACCTTTAAAACACTCTCCTGTAAAATTAGTACGTTATGAGATTATACAGTTTTAATGCGAGAAGACGATATACGTTCATAAGATAAATACTAATCGCAATTTAAATATAAATATCGCAGTGCTTCTCAAACCGTGACGAAATGAAATACGAATGTTTGGGAACAATCACCTACTTAAAAAAAAAAAAAAACTTAAATACAACACATACAAACATTTGGTCAAATATTGGATTTAAACGCGTCTTGTAGAATTTCTTCAACTTTGTAGTTCTTATAGACACGTAACGAGAGAAGATCTTATCCTTAATAGTTGATCTAGCTCTAGATAGAGAAACTAGTTTTAGATAATCACTGATAATTTCACGCTGTAATTCCGCGCGGGTAGGTGCAAATTTTTGGTTAAGTCCGTCAACCCTATGAGGTGATGCAATGCATTTGCAGCGCTGATGCAGGCTTCATGCCATGGAGTCAGCTGGGACTCGATGAGATTCAGTAATTCCGTCCCCAGCAATGGGATAAAAGGTGTTTTGGGCATATTCTTATATATTTTTTCTGTTGCTGCCGGTAGTTAAATAAACCCATAAACATAATATAAATGATGGCATTCATTATAAAAATCGAGAATTTAGTAAATGAATATTCGAATAGTTTATTAATAGCGTATGGGAAACTCGATCACGAGGTATTGTGGCCAACATTACCAACCAATAAATCAAACTTGACCAAAAAACGATTCCATTAATACAAAGCTTCATAATTAGACAGAGCCCGTGTCTTGCTGAATGTCAACTACATGTTTGTGGGTATGATCAATAGTAGCTTACACACATACACGCCAGTAACTATGACGCGTTACATTGCGTACTCAAGGTTATGAAAGCAAAGCGTCAATGTACTAGGAATTCATAATTGTCAGGTAAACTTCATCAAGCGTGACGTCATTTGTGGTCAAAATATACGAGCTGTTACACAACGATCAACCACATATCGAGAAGTGAATGTTTATGTAGTTTAAGCGACATTTTTGCAACTTCACAGCGGAGCCATTTAAAGTTTAAATTTAGGAAAGAAAAAAAAACTTCAGCTATTTGAATGGAGTAAGCTTAATCGAAGTTCAATTAAAAACATCGAACTGTTGTTGATGCTGATACCAAATAAAACGCACCTTTAATTACAAAGATAAATGTCTTTTCACCCCTCAATATGATATCATACATTCCTATTAGCGTATAAAACTAGACGAGAAATAATATTGTGATTATTAAATTTTATTTACTGATTTGTAATAGCCACCATGAATATACCACATTTAACATTGTGAATAATTTGTACAAGTCTATTGAAAATTAACATCACAACACACGTGTACATGTTAAATGAACCACGGATACGTCGATCTTAAGATGTTTTTAATTTGAATATTATATTATACTAGATTTTGTCCGCGACTTTGTCCGCGTGGAATAATTACTTTAGCATAACGCTAAATTTTACACGCGACTTCACTTACGTAGAAGGTGCAAATATTTTTGAATAATAATGTTAAGGAGCTATTTAAGGTATCGAAATGACGCTTTTTAACCGACTTTAAAAGGGGAGGTTATTTATTAGTGCTCCGCTCGTATTGGTCTTAGCGTGATGTTACATAGTCAATAAATAGGCTATCTAACACTGAAATAATTATTCAAATCGGACCAGTAATTCCTGAGATAAGCGCGTTCAAACAAACAATCTCTTCAGCTTTATAATATTACTAGTTATTGCCCGCGACTTCGTCCGCGTGGAATAGTTCACAAATAATGCTTTATTTTAAAACAAATTTGGTTAGCATAAAAAACGTTATAGTGAGCCAACCTTAACACATAGACATGCTGTCGCGGACTTTTTTTTAGATCTTTTAAAAGGGAACAATTCTGTCATACATTATTTTAGCGAAACTTTAACAGTTTCTGCAGCGCACGCAGCGGAAGCTCTCGAAAGGGAAAAAAAACGATTTTGAAGTATTCTTTATTGGTACTCCGCTTGTATTGGTCTTAGCGTGATGTTATATAGCCTATAGCCTTCCCCTATAAATGAGCTATCTAACACTGAAGAATCTAACACTGAATTTTTCAAATTGGACCACTAGGTTCCTGAGATTAGCGCGTTCAAACACTCTTCAGATTTATAATATTCTTCTTCTTCTCAGTCATGTCACTCTTGACAGAGTGGTCGTGATCATCATGTAGTGTTGGAAGGGGCAGACTTGATGCGTCTCACGATGTCGCGCCATCTCGCCCTGCTCGAGGCCATTCTACTGCACTCATTTAGGGGACCTCCCACTGCAGTTTTAATTTGGTCGGTCCACCGCATTGGTGGCCTCCCGCGCGGTCTTGTACCATCAATGCTTATAATATTAAGTATAGATAAAATTAATACACGCGACATTCATATTGTATCTTCTCTCGTTACGTTCGTCACTACGTCTGTAAACTATGTACGATCACATTTATTCGGTGAGGTTGTCTGTCTGTTCATTTGTTGGGCGAGGTGAGGCCCAGCGCGGCGGACAGCAGCCGGACGACGTTCTTCTGCTCCGTCGGTTCGTTCTCTGTGAAAACGTGTTAAGATTATTTTAAATCGACAGACATAATCGATGATAAAAAAAAAGGTAATGGAACTGCTTTGAATACAATAGCATCAAAGCCAGTATACATACATAGGTATATAGGCTTTTACGCTGCGTGCTCTAGAGAAAATGCCAGCGTAATTCGCGTGGGGATGAGAGAGAGTGGAGAGAGGGGAGAGTAAGGGCAGCGCGAGGGGGAAGAGAGAGAGTGTATACATTATTGTAAACCATAATAATCAAAATTTAAAATAATAATTACAAAAAAGTACAATGGGCGGTCTTATCACTAAAAGCGATCTATTTAGGAAATGAATTAACCGCTGTGTATTTTTTGATTGAAAAAAAAAATATGTTTTTTTTTTCAAGGCATAAGTAAGATACATTATGCTCACTCTCCTGACCTAAGACTATTGCTTGAAAAAAAACATGTCAATGAAATAAACACACCTTCATATTTGTAATATTAGTATGAATATGTATATCTATATTATACATATCGAGGGGTGAAAGGTTATTTAGGTTTAAGCGACATTTTTACGAGTTTACAGGACAGTCATTTAAAGTTTAAATTATGTAGAAAAATAACATAACAAAAAAACTTCTTCTGCTATTTGAATGAAGTAAGCTTAATTGAAGTTCAATTAAAAACATTGAATTGTTGTAATACTAAATAAAAGGTACTTTTAATTACAAAGACAACAGCCACTTAAACCATATAGACTTTTACTTCTGGAATTATAATCACCACACTCGAATCTGTTTGAAATACATATCGTCGCTGTCAAACCAAAATCTGCTATGTGCAAAAACTCGTATTTTGAATTAACGAGTAAAAACATTTTTGTATCAAATTTTATATGAAGGTGAATTTTTAAGAACTATATCAAATGAAAGCTATAGATAAATATTAAAGCTATAGATAGACACATAACAGTTTTTTTTATACGGCAGATAGGGCTGTGAACTATACAAAAAGGTTAAAAAGTAAAAATCTCAAGTGCACATAGCAGATTTCGGTTTGACAATGACGATATATAATACTAATTTACGCATTTACGTTGTATGTAGATGTCTATGGGCTCCAGTAACCACTTAACACCAGGTGGGCCGTGAGCTCGTCCACTCATTTAAGCAATAATTTTTTTTTTATAGATGTTCTACTTACCGTCTTCCCCAGTGACGTGTTTCTCTAGATTAAGTTTCTCCTGCGCGACCTGATATATTCCCTCCTCGATGGTCCCGGCGCTGATCAGCCGGTATATTGTCACCGGCCGGGTCTGGCCCAGTCTATGACACCTGTCAAAGCAACCGGAATTCGTTAATCGAGACTGCGACGCTAATATCGACTTCGTTATAGCGTTGTCTCTTTTCTTCTTCTTTTTTTAATTTATTGATGTTGTGCATCAACAAATCACAATGATTACGGTGCATTACATATTATTAACTAAGTTGTACAAATAGTACTTAAGTCTGATCTGGGTTGCAATCTAAATCATATATTGGCAAACTCATACTAATAATGTACATAAGCGAGCGAGCTTCCAAATTGGCTAATGAAAACAAAATTAAAAATAAAAAAATTAAAAATTAAATTAAATTAATTATGAGTTCCAAGAAAAAAAGAAACAAAAAAAAGGTGAAGTGTCCACATAAGTAGTCTCTGTCACACATAGCGTGACCATCGTGCGACAGATACAACACTATACGAGTCAATTGCTTCTCTGTTTCCGAAGGTCTGTGCAAAATGTTTATTTATGATCGGGTACTATACAGTCGTGAACAATTCTTTCGATTGATATTCACAGTCGCGTCCAGCGGTCCACGCATTCCAAAAACGTGAGGTCTCCTTCAATACTTCATCGAGTAACAGTGGTTCTCAAACTAGGGTACGCGATTAAAAAACATTGGTCGTTAGTCTGTACCACCATGTGCGCCTAATGCGAGTTTTTTAATTGTATGGAGTTGAAACAGCTTCCCTTCGTTTGCCGCTAGAGGCGCTGTTCCAACTCCATACAAATTTGAGTTAACTTTTACGCTATCGAGAGCGTTAAAAACTTGCACTAAGCACACTGTACGACAACAATACACAAAACAATCTAAACGTAGTCACTATTTTTGTGATGTTATTATTTATTATTCTCAAATTATTTAACACAATGACGTCATACGTGGATAATCTCGAAGTTGTTTTTTATTGACTTAGATCTGTGAACGACCTGAACGGCACGCATGGTGTAGAGCTCTTAAGCATCACATAGTCTGAGCATAATAAACAATTACATCACAAAAATAGTGACTACGTTTAGATTGTTTTGTGTATTGTTGTCGTACAGTGTGCTTATTGCGAGTTTTTTAACTTCTCGATCGCGTAAAAGTTAACTCAAATTTGTATGGACTTGGACCAAGTTCACTAAGTTTGCGATATTAGTACGGTAAACGAAGCACAAGTCACACCTGTCTTCCGCCTGCTTGTCGTTGTATGGGTTGAAGTCGATGTCGTGGATGATGACGGTGTCGGCCGCGGTGAGGTTAATGCCGAGCCCGCCCGCCTTCGTCGACAGCAGGAACACGAATATGTTCTCGTTGTTGTACTGGTCTATTAGGTCTTGTCTGGAAATAAACAATAAGGTTTATGATGATGATGATGATGATGATGATATTAATTTATCCCTAATGGGAAAGGCAAAGGACTTTAGTCCACACAGCCAGGTCTTGTTTTTGGTAATAATTGGAAATTTTTTTGGTAGTTTTAAAGGCCGAAGCCACGTCTTCATTGTTCTTGATCGTAAGGCCGAAGCCATGTCTTGTCTTATTGTAAGTTCTAAGGTCTCAAATATAGTTACAGCGGCTGCCCCACCCTTCAAACCGAAACGCATTACTGCTTCACGGCAGAAATAGGCAGGGCGGTGGTACCTACCCGTGCGGACTCACAAGAGGTCCTACCACCATCATCATCTTTATTGGTGAAGAGATATAAATAAATAAATATTATATTTTTTAGTTTGGAATAAAAGTATTAATACGTACCTCTCCGTAACGGCGGTGCTACCGTCCAGGCGCAGATACTGATACCTCCTGATGGTGAGGTAGGGCTCGAGGATGTCCAGCATCATCGTGAACTGACTGAAGATGAGCACCCGGTGGCCGCCCGCCTTCAGCTTCGGCAGCATCTCGTCCAGCTTTTGGAACTTTCCAGAGTCCAAGATCAGCGACTCCGGTATCGTGTGCTGTTTGCACTGGGAGACGCGGCGGCAGTTAGTATCGGACTAGTGACAGTGACAGTGACAGTGGCGACATGCGGAGTTCGCTCTTTTCTTAAACGTCGGTAGCACTATGTCAACTTTGACGGGATTTATTTATTTACCGCGATTGACGCCGCGGGGCGAAGCTAGTCTAAAAAAAAGTAGCCTAAGTTGATTATATGATCAGATACCTATCAGTGAAAGTCCCGTCAAAATCGGTCCAGCCGTTCCAGAGATTAGCCGGGACAAACAGACAGACAAAAATTGTAAAAAATTATATTTTGGTGTATGTACCGTATATATGTTCATATGTATGTAGTAAAAAGCGGTTATTTCAATATTACAAACAGACACTCCAATTTTGTTTATATGTATAGATATGCTGTTGTCAGCTCGTCCAGTATCTACATAAATGTATGTATATGTGATGGAAATTTTCAAAGTAAATTTCACCGCAAGACGTCCGTTACTTAGAATATTTGTTCACGCACCAAGAGTCGGCGGAAACACAATATATTTATTACTTTTGAATAATTGTTTAACAAAATTTTTACTCTGTTTTCGTATAAGCGTTTTTTTTTTAATATACATTAATTGGTGAGCACTCAATATACGTACACGTATTGACGCGCGAAAGAACTTAAAGATAGGTCAGTATATACGGGTAGATTCACTTCAACGGTAGCTATTAACATGTTAACGGTCTACTAATATATAGACACGTGGCCCTTCCACCAGAGCTGAGCAGCATATCCATGCTACCCAGACAATAGACCGGACGGTGATGTCCTGCCTATTTGAAGGGGAATCATCCGTTATACCATGCAATTGAGACTTGGACCCCATTGAGACCAACGACGCTGCATAGGACATGCAGACCACTGGTCTTTATTACTGGTGGTAGGACCTCTTGTGAGTCCGCGCGGGTAGGTACCACCGCCCTGCTTATTTCTGCCGTTAAGCAGTAATGCGTTTCGGTTTGAAGGGTGGGGCAGCCGTTTAACTATACTTGAGACCTTAGAACTTATATCTCAAGGTGAGTGGCGCATTTACGTTGTAGATGTCTATGGGCTTCAGTAACCACATAGAACCAGGTGGGCTGTGAGATCGTCCACTCTTCGAAGCAATAAAAAAAAAGGGACAAACATTCACTTACATACTGCAAAGCCAACTGGTGTATCTGGAAGTCGGACAGACACAGGAGATCTTGGAAGGCGTAGTGTTCGTTCTTCTCTTTATAGCTCGGCTCCTTGACGAGACGCGCCGCTATCTTCTTCAACTGCGCCTCCTGGTAGTGGTAGCGCAGCAGGAGCGGGTGGTTCGACAGCTTCCTCATGTCCATCATCATGGCCATGCCGCTCTGCTCTGTCGTCGCGTGGATCTGAATACGTTATACACTGACGGTCAAGTACTGCCACGTTCAAACGCGACCACGAATAATGCAGCAATCGAAGTTATAGCACTGTTGTTATTTTTTACTGGTTAGAGGTCTTGTGAATCCGCGCGGGTAGGTACTACCGCCCTGCCTATTTCAGCCATGAATCAGTAATGAGTTTCGGTTTAAAGGCTGAGGCAGCCGTTATACTGTAAGAACTGAGATCTTAAAACTCTAAGGCAGGTTTTACTGGTGGTAGGACCTCTTGTGAGTACGCACGGGTAGGTACCGCCACCCCGCCTATTTGTGCCGTGAAGCAGTAATGCGTTTCGGTTTGAAGGGTGGGGCAGCCATTGTACTGTACCAACTGAGACCTTAGAACTCATATCTCAACGTAGGTAGCGGCATTTACGTTGTAGATGCCTATGGGCTCTTAACTACTTAACACCTAAGAACTAAAAGAATATCTAACCGCTCCGTCCTTGTCGGCGAACCCGCTGATGAGCTCCTTGTAGAGGCGTCCCTGCGCGGCGGACATGGCGCACAGCTGCGTGTGGTTGGTCTTGTCGGGCAGGTCCTGCAGCACGTCCCGCTTCAGCCGCCGCAGCACGAACGGCTTCATTATCCGCTTCGCCTGCGTTATCTGGCTCTGCTCGAAGGCCGGCTCGTCGTCCTCTTTCGCGCCGTCCGTCTTCTTTGTCTTCGATTTCTGAATGCGAATCGAAATATTATTTATGGTGGTATTAATATATTATTACTAGCCGACCCGGCAGACTTCGTAGTGCCTCAATCGATAAATAAAAGACCTAAACTTTTGTATGAAATAAACTTAAAACTCACAGCCCACCTGGTGTTGGGTGGTTACTGAAGCCCATAGACATCTACAACGTAAATGCGCCACCCACCTTGAGATATAAGTTGTAAGGTCTCAGTATAGTTACAACGGCTGCCCCGTCCTTCAGACCGAAACGCATTACAGCTTCACGGCAGAAATAGGTAAGGCGGTGGTACCTACCTACCCGCGCGGACTCACAAGAGGTCCTACTACCACCAGTAATTAGATCTTATTCCTTCACCGTGGAAGTCAATCGTGAACATTTGTTGAGTACGTATTTCATTAGAAAAATTGGTACCCGCCTGAGATTCGAACACCGGTGCATCGCTCGACACGAATGCATCAGACGTCTTATCCTTTAGGCCACGACGACTTCAAAAGACGTTGTTGAACTTACGGTATTCTTCTGGAACAAGCTCTTCAGGTCGTCGGTCTTCCCGGAGAACATGTGCGGCATCACGAAGCACAGCAGCGACATCAGCTCGATCAGGTTGTTCTGCAGCGGAGTCCCGGTCAGCAGGAGGCGGTGTTTAGACTGTGGATCCAAAATTCAACCTTATTGCTTCGAAAATAGCAACTACGTTATAAAAGCTTTTGCATTTTTTAAAGCGAAACGTGCGTCAACCCTATATATCAGAAACCTTCAACCGAATTCTTGTGAGTTTTTTTTCCCTACGAATGTTGATGGTCTGATGGTCGGATGGGTGAGACCATTTCAGCATAACCTTAACAAGTAGGTGAGCTCACGGGGTTCAAACCTGACGACGTTGCTAATCAGGTGGTCCGTGAGCTCGTCCAGCCACTTAAGTAATAAAAAAAAAAATACATGAATATGGGCCACTCTGCAGCATATTCATTTTGTTATATTTGTGTATTAAACCTTATTGATAAAAATCCTACTTTTTATTAGTATTTTACTAACAAAAACGTTGTGTATTTAATGTAAATTATGTTTACCTTAATTTTAAGGAGATTATCGTATCGCTGCGTGGACATGTTCTTGAGCATGTGCGCTTCGTCGTAGATGACGTAGTGCATCGGAGTTATCCTGAACATCTTCCGCTCTTCAGGGCAGCTGTTCACCATGGTGTAACTGAAATACAACAATTCATTTAATCAGCATTCATATTTTTTTTATCACACTGACTGACTGAGTTACGAATGTACTAATAATAATAGACTCGATACTAAGAAGTAAGCAAATCGACAGTCCCTACGTATTTTTTTATTATTTCATAATCATTTTCTATTTGTCAATACACATATTACAAATTTGCGTTGGAATTGGAAAGCGTTCCGATTTCCCCCAATCTATTGTATTTGCGACGTTGTGCTCCGATGTCTACTCCGCCCTGAGTGCGGGGCGGAGCGGGGCGTGACGTGACGGGGCGGGGCCTGACGTGACGGTCGGGCGTGACCTGACGGGGCGTGGCGTGACGGGGCGCGGCGCGGCGGGATGTCCGTCCGTATAATATAAGCAGTATGTTTTAAGTTACGTGGTGAGCACGACGTCGACGTCCTGCAGCCCGCGCGCGTACTCGATCCGCAGCTGCCGCCGCTCGTCCGGGTGCCCGTAGTACTTGCTCACGCGCAGCGATGGGCACCAGCGGGACAGCTCGCTGCTCCAGTTGTCTGAGCAACATTTTACAAATCAATTAAATAATAATGATAACTATTTTAACGGTACAGAAGTATTCGTAACGTCGGAAAGAGTATAATGACAATAATAAACGAATTGTACCGTGAAAGCAGTTTTAATTACGTATATGTAACGTGCCAAAACCGAAGAAAATATACTATCTATACTAATATATAAATCTACAGTGGTTTTTACGGATGTTCCATTATAACTACTGAACCATACATCCGATTGACTTGAAACTTGGTATCCATGTAGAAAGTACATGTACTTAATGGATAGGCTAATATTTTTATGAGTGTTGGACTCCCTACACCAGTTGCGGGGGCATTAATGATGGGAATCTTTGTGGGGGTGAGAAATAATAATGTTAATTTTAAATGCCCAGCGAAGCGGACAGGTACAGCTGGTTAATAATAAAAGTAAAACAATTAAAACGAATCATGCATAAAATATGTATTATGTACACTCAGTAAAATGTATGGGGCATTGACCCATACCACACAGATAATATAAATAGGCACATTGATGTAAATAGTACTAAATGTAACATAGAAAGCTGTTTGTCAGCTTGGGTCTGTGATTATCTTCATGTATTATATGGAAAACGAACAGGGTTTTTGAACTACATTTCAATTAATTAATTATTAATAATCTAGTCCAACTCACCTAAAGTAGAAGCCGGAACAACAATCAAATGAGTTCCCTTGGCTTGGCCTGTCTCCTTCAAATGGGCAAGAAAGGCTATCACTTGAACCGTTTTGCCCAGTCCCATCTCATCTGCCAGGATCCCGGACACGCCCTGCTTGTGCAGTACTGCTAGCCAGTTCAGTCCCACCAACTGGTATGGGGCTAGCTTTAAACTGCAACAGAAATATGTATACAATACAATTGTCTATATATATTATAAGCCAAGACAAAACACTTAACTACCATTTTGTTATATTTCTCAAAATATTATAATTTTTTTTATTTGAAATTGAGAAACTTTAGTAGTATCAAGAATAAAGCTATTTTTAGTTTTTTAACTTTCATGAAAATCCAATATTTTTTTTTAACCCTGGGGAATCCATTTACGGATACCCGGTCCGGTGGGGCAACGAACCGGGTTAGGTCGGACTCCGGCGCCTCCTGAGAGGAAGAGGGGGACGAGGAGGGCCAAGGTTTGATTTTTTTATTTGATTACTTACCTAGGATCTAAAATTGAGGGTTGTTTGAGACGTCCAGCGCCAGCAGCTACAGCCGCCTCGAGCTGCTGCGCCAGACCAACACACTTCTTCATTAGCCGTTGAATGTTATTCCTGGTTGTTAGTAGCTCTTGAGTGGAGTTTAAGAGATCCGTGCTCAGCATTTTGTTGCTATTAAATTTTTCTACCTGTTTCAAATATGATTTTGTGTATAAATTTATTTTCAATGAAAGCGAGCAAAGCCTTATAGTAAAAGTAATGAGGGTAACCACACCGATAATGAGCAGAAATTGTCAAGGTTGATGCTTATATAGTACACAAAAATCCAGTTAAGATACCTGTCACAATTGGTAATTTGTAACACAATTATTTTATTAATATTATTTGCACGCACGAGTAGATACTACCGTGGTGAACATTTCCACAATGACTGCTTTACACCATGTGGACCAATATACATTTAGTGTTGAATATTAGACGATATGTTTTTTATACATACCATATCCAACCATCCTTTGAATGGTCTCAGTGCCATTATAGCCTCTGCTTTCTTTTGTGAGCATCCACTCAACAATGATAGTTCATTCATATTACTTGTGTTTAGGAACTCGAATACCTTCTTTTTGTCACCTATTAAATCGTCTGTCACTTCATTGTCAGAGTCATCACTGAAAATAAAACAATTCATTTTTACCTCAAACAAAAAGAGGGAGGCTCTGAATTTTTCTTTATTTACTGTTTTTTTTTTATTAGCTTTACAAAAACTTTTTTAATTACATTTCTTCCTCTTATTTCATTCATAATACATTATTAACATTGACATTGACAGCTCTCTTGGTGTTGATGCTTCGAGATTACAATATTAACTTGTATCTCATTCTGCTCTGATGAAAAAGAACATGGAAAATTCACCCACCTGTCATAAACTAAATCATCTTTCCCTTTTCTAACACCATAGTCATCATCTTCGCTACCACTGCTGCCTCTTCTGGCTCTGCCACCCTTTGACACTACTGGCTTCCTCACAACAACATTAAATCTATTGGGACCACTAGTCACTCTCACCATGGTCATGTTACCATTAGTTTTTGAATGAGATGGTGCACTGAAGAAGGTGGATGAGGATCCTTTGTCATTACTCTCAGGGTCATATTTCAGGAGTTCATCTCTTGAACGCTCTTCATTCCAGCCATGTTTGACTAATTTGTTTTTGACAAGCTGAAAGTACAAAAAGAGATGGTATCTCTAAAATGTTTAATCACTTCGTTGGTTTGCTACTTAGACACTTAAGCTACAGCACCGTATTCCAATGATCGAGTCGGCGACTATATTAAATATATTCATATTTGGTTCATGTAGTTGGTTTTTACGTAGACCGTTTTTGTTTTTGCTTTGTATTTTTCTAATGCCCTTTAATACAATCCTAGAACAATCTTAAGAATGTATTATTGGTGGCAGTAAATATATTGACCTATAAAGAGTATGCAAATATTTTTCCACATTGTATTCACATTATTAATTTTGTAAGGAAGAAGAATTAAAGATGTCTATAAGTTAAGCAAGCTAGTAAACAATCTCAAAAACAACAACCAGACAACAAAGAGAAAATTTTATTTTACGACTGGGATAGATCTTTAAAGAGCTTAAGTATTCTTATTTTCAACGCACAGATATACTTTTAATATAGTTTTGTACCAGTATAGGCAGAAAGGTTTAGGGAATTATCAAAGATGATCCTTACCAATGGTGAAATGTCTGGAAACATTTCTAGCATGTTCCTAAAGCGTCTCTCTTTGATAGCTGGAGTAAGTTCAACTTGGAGGGCTGCTTTCTTTGCTGGCGATGCTGGATCATCAGAATCGGAATCTGGTAACCTGATCCTCTTGTAGACCACAACTGGATTGTTTTGACGTTGGCCAGTGTGGTTTGGAGCTGGCATCCTTATTATTTGTGGTTCTGTTTTGATATCATGAAAGTCTATAATTAACCTATGGACCTGAGACTCTTAGTTACGTCTTGACAATTTATGCAAGCAGATCCATGAAGTTTATAGACGATAAACAAAAATTGTATTAGTAACCATGACCTAGCATAAAATATAAATATAAAATTATGTATTTTTTTGTTACAGTCACGATTCCAATATTTTTTGTTGTGGTTTCTAGCATCTGCCTGCGATTGCTATCTGCGATTCCTATAGTACTCTGGAATGAATGACAATAAAGACACAGACAATCTTGGAAACCTACTAAAAAAGTGATTGAAAAAATATTGTGGGGGCACAGCTTAATCTGAGTTTGGTCTGATCAGATTTATACTCTCCGTGAGGATAGGACAGGATGAGATGGCATAGTATTGTGAGGATGAGTCACAGATGGAAGTGGTCACAACCTTTAGACACGAGGAGAAAAATTGGAAGAGAATAACATAATCCCTAGTTACTGTAGTGAGGAATATAAAAATATTACATATGGTGGTTAGTGAAGTTATGGTCAATTCATACTGAACGAGTTCAATGTAGGAATGTAAACGAATGTCACAGTAAACCTTATGAGTATGTGAATAACAGGCTTTCGTTGAATTAACTCAGATTCCAGGCCACCAATCTATTTTATATTAATATTTATTTAAGAATTTATATGTACATATTTATATAAGTGTATATATATAAGAAATATCAAGATCTGTATAATTCTCAACAAAATCGAATTATCATTGTTTTGTGTGACAGATGTTGAGACTTTAGGAAAAAAAACTAAATATACCACATTGGGTCAAATGATCCATTTTGAACTTTTGCATTAAAAATGCACATATCATCTTACTGCTTCTGCACATTTGACTTCATGACTTTTTCTTACCAATGAATCTACAGTTATTATACTATTTTTTTGTTTTGTTTATTTTGAGTAATACTTGTTATATACCGTTATCTACTTATTACGGTAGAAATAGGTACCAGTAAGTGTTGGTATGATTCGTGTTAATGTAATGATATTTTCCTTCAATGTCAATAAGACTACAAAAGAGAAGATATCATACATAAATAAAGTCTAAATTTTCAGATGTCAATGATTACAAGCCAATTTTGAAGAGTTCAATCTCTCGAGAGATGGAACTAAAGTATATATTAAGTTTCTCAGTCTCAATAACTTCATTTTGTGTATGCATATAATAGTACTTCACTACCCTACTTAGTCTATCGTTTTGAATTCAAATTATTTTTTATTCAGTAAATAAAAAGTTTACCCTGCTCTATGGTATTTTTGTCCAACTTCCATTTCTGTTTAATTTGAGTTAAACGTTTGCTATTAAAAACGAGAAAGTTAATAACATGCCCAGTCTTTTATTTAGAATGACTGCATTTTATTCTCAAAGTGTTTTTCTATTATTAATTCTCAAAAAACACTGAAAACTAAACTTATAAAAAGATAAGAGCTTGGAAATTAATTAAGAACGTTGTAATATGATAGATTACTAAACGATCGAAGCGTTAAACTTCTAACGAACAAACTGTCACTCGTGTTGAAACAGAATCCATAACATGTAAACTAAAAACAGCTGCTTAAGACATTTCAGACATTTTTATTTCAAAATTGACTTGAACCTTCAGTAACTTTAATAAATCGACACCTCCTACGTATATTATCGTAACCAACAAATTGACGAAAATGACATTTTTAGATTTTCAAATACTTTATAACATCGTTTATCGTTTCATCTAATAAAAAAAAATATATTTGCAATAGAACCAAAGATATTGAGAGTGCATATTGTCGTATGTTCATATTTACCGTAGTAATATATCGTATAGTGCAGTTAATGTACTGTACGCGGGAGGCGAGTGATCGTTTAGCCGCGCGAAGGAATGGTAAGTAGTAGTACCGATTGTATACGCTGGAGAGGAGCACGAACGCGGCTAATATCACATTTTAAAAAAATGTACTGATTTATATTATTTAATGGACAGTAAGTATAAGATTAACTATCAACTATGTCATCTAGGTCAAAACGAATGATTGATGCAGTAATGAAACCGGTAAAACAATGTGATAATTTGATTGGCAAAAACCGGTAAACGCTAATAATTCAACTTATAGTGATGATGTGTGTACATCCAACCNCGCAACGGTTGCCGAATTGTCGTTTTTATAAAACTCGCGCACACAAAACGCACGGTCCGCTCCGGTAAAACGCTCCATCGCGACTAAATTCCCAGAAACCGAAGTTACTCCCCCCGCTTCCCCTGCACCGCTCACGCGCGCCCTGTTCGTTTTATTCAAATTTTACTTTTCAAAGGACTTATGGGCCACCCTGTACAATCCTAGAACAATCTTAAGACTGTATTATTGGTGTCAGTAAATATATTAATCTATAAAGAGTATGCAAATATTTTTCCACATTGTATTCACATTATTAATTTTGTACGGAAGAAGAATTAAAGATGTCTATAAATTAAGCAAGCTAGTAAACAATCTCAAAAACAACAACCAGACAATAAAGAGAAATTTTTATTTTATGACTGGGATAGATCTTTAAAGAGCTTAAGTATTCTTATTTTCAACGCACAGATATACTTTTAATATAGTTTTGTACCAGTATAGGCAGAAAGGTTTAGGGAATTATCAAAGATGATCCTTACCAATGGTGAAATGTCTGGAAACATTTCTAGCATGTTCCTAAAGCGTCTCTCTTTGATAGCTGGAGTAAGTTCAACTTGGAGGGCTGCTTTCTTTGCTGGCGATGCTGGATCGTCAGAATCGGAATCTGGTAACCTGATCCTCTTGTAGACCACAACAGGATTGTTTTGACGTTGGCCAGTGTGGTTTGGAGCTGGCATCCTTATTATTTGTGGTTCTGTTTTGATATCATGAAAGTCTATAATTAACCTATGGACCTGAGACTCTTAGTTATGTATTGACAATTTATGCAAGCAGATCCATGAAGTTTATAGACGATAAACAAAAATTGTATTAGTAACCATGACCTAGCATAAAATATAAATATAAAATTATGTATTTTTTTGTTACAGTCGCGATTCCAATATTTTTTGTTGTGGTTTCTAGCATCTGTCTGCGATTGCTATCTGTGATTCCTATAATACTCTGGAATGAATGACAATAAAGAGACAGACAATCTTGGAAAGCTGGTAATTACTAAAAAAGTGATTGAAAAAATATTGTGGGGGCACAACTTAATCTGAGTTTGGTCAGATCAGATTTGCACCACCCATGATTCTTCAGTCTAAAATGCTCTCCATGTACAGGACAGTGTGGGACAGGATGAGATGGCATAGTATTGTGAGGATGAAAGTCACAGATGGAAGTGGTCACAACCTTTAGACATGAGGGGAAAATTTGGAAGAGAATAACATAATCCCTAGTTACTGTAGTGAGGAATATAAAAATATTACATATGGTGGTTAGTGAAGTTATGGTCAATTCATACTGAACGAGTTAAATGTAGGAATGTAAAAGAATATCACAGTAAGCCTTATGAGTATGTGAATAACAGGCTTTTGTTGAATTAACACAGATTCCAGGCCACCAATCTATTTTATATTAATATTCATTTAAGAATTTATATGTACATATATAAGAAATATCAAGAATTTTATGAGTGTATATATGAGTCGACTATTATCAAAGCCGGCAATGTGACTTTTGGACAATTATTGGTAAATCAGAAAAACGAATTATTGACTTTGTATTCCATTGGCAGTCACAAAACTCTTCTGAACGACATCTTAGATAAATAACAGGTTAAGTATTAACCTTTATTTAATGCAGGTTTTGAACCGTATTTTTTGAAGGAGACGATTATATTCAAATCAATCTGTATTGACATATCAATAACATTTTTTGTCCAAATGCACAGATTGCCACCTTTGATAATAGACGACTCATATATAAGAAATATCAAGATCTGTATAATTCTCAACAAAATCGAATTATCATTGTTTTGTGTGACAGATGTTGAGACTTTAGGAAAAAAACTTAACACTAAATATACCACAACGGGTCAAATGATCCCTTTTGAACTTTTGCATTAAAAATGCACATATCATCTTACTGCTTCTGCACATTTGACTTCATGACTTTTTCTTACCAATTAATCTACAGTTATTATACTATTTTTTTGTTTTGTTTATTTTGAGTAATACTTGTTGTATACCGTTATCTACTTGCTATGGTAGAAATAGGTACCAGTAAGTTGTTGGTATGATTCGTGTTAATGTAATGATATTTTCCTTCAATGTCAATAAGACTACAAAAGAGAAGATATCATACATAAATAAAGTCTAAATTTTCAGATGTTAATGATTACAAGCCAATTTTGAAGAGTTCAATCTCTCGAGAGATGGAACTAAAGTATATATTAAGTTTCTCAGTCTCAATAACTTAATTTTGTGTATGCATATAGTATTATAGTACTTCACTACCCTACTTAGTCTATCGTTTTGAATTCAAATTATTTTTTATTCAGTAAGTAAATAAAAAGTTTACCCTGTTCTATGGTATTTTTGCCCAATTTCCATTTCTGTTTAATTTGCGTTAAACGTTTGCTATTAAAAACGAGAAAGTTAATAACATGCCCAGTCTTTTATTTAGAATGACTGCATTTTATTCTCAAAGTGTTTTTCTATTATTAATTCTCAAAAAACACTGAAAACTAAACTTATAAAAAGATAAGAGCTTGGAAATTAATTAAGAACGTTGTAATATGAAAGATTAGTAACCAATGGAAGCGTTAAACTTCTAACGAACAAACTGTCACTCGTGTTGAAACAGAATCCATAACATGTAAACTAAAAACAGCTGCTTAAGACATTTCAGACATTTTTATTTCAAAATTGACTTGAACCTTCAGTAACTTTAATAAATGTCGTTTTTAATGGCGAAAAAAACAGAAGACCGGTAGAAATCTGACCTTGAATACGAGTACCAATATATCCAACTCCTCGTGGTTTACGGTACCAGCACGTGGCTCTATAAGGTACAAACATGAAGACATGATTCTAAATAACTATACTTACGAGAACTCGATGTAGAAGCCTTAATTGTAACTTGGTTACCGGAGCCTGAGGATTCATTTGGTTTTCTCTGAAACCTGTATTGTCTTAGATAACTTAACACACTAGGGCTGTTACTTTCAGACATTTTTATATTATAAATGGTATATATACGACACTGTCGTTTAATTTAACACAAGAGTTATTTTATTAAAAGTAGCGAAATGTTTTACACTATTCTATCGCACTACCACAGCACATTAACGAAACAACATTTCTTTCAGCCATTTTTGTCCGCGAGTCTGCACTCTAGAAAGTTTAGTCCAATACTTTTCAATGTCAATTTTGACAAAATCAATTTCAACCAATGATTTTTAAGAATATTTTTTTACTATTGACAGCAACTTTAATGATCTACCGTACTGTACCTAAAATGGGGCGATTAGGGATTGAGAGGCGAATCGGGAAAAAACCGGGAAAATCTTTCGACGCTCAATATTAGTTTTATATTCGTTGCAAAATCTTCCATTTTTGTAGTTTAATAGTAGAATGTTAAAAGTTCACAAAACAACTCTGAATATGCATGATAATAGCGGCTAACTTATAAAAAATCGCTTTTCTAATTAACTTCCTGTGGTGGTAAATATTTTAGTGCTAGAAACTTTGCTCTCTTTTATTTATTTGATAATAATAGAAGATGACTGTGATTTATAAACGTTATTTAGTGCTTGAACCATCATATATATTAAAGGTAAGTCTCAGTTGTTATTGGTTTTAATGTATTTGATAAAATAAAAATACATGTAAAAATGTGATATTGGGGACGTCATAGGTACAAATAACAACGAAAAAGGGGTCAATTAGGATGAGAATACGTGAAATGGAAACGACCTAAGTATAAATAGGTACAGGTTTGTAGGGTTGTCTATGTAGTTAAATCAGTATTTTTTAAATTTGTTGATAAAAATCTGCTTTATTCGTGATGTTTTTGTCTAGAACTTTTATTCAAAATTATCAATGTGTTATTTTATTGTTTGGTAAATATTTATATTATCAGTTACGTATTATTTTCTATTTTTAGATATGCCTCGCGAGTACGTATCAAAGAGTGCAAAGCCTTTTAAGAGATATGATCCCTTAATATTAAAAACAGCAATAGAAGCCTATGAAATTGGGAATAAGTCCTTAGTTGAAACAGCTGAGTAATTTAATATAAGTAAGTCGATTTTGCACAGACATGTAACAAGAACAATGAAATCTCAAGGTGGACAAAAATGTCTAAGTAATACATAATCAAATATCTAATATTTGTTCAGAGTAGGGGGATTAATCTGATTAGTCCATGAAACAACCGACACACCTAATCTCTAAGTACTTACCAAGAACGAAGAAATATAAACCGTTTATAAGAAAGCCCACTCGTTCGAATTGCGGTGCTTAGTCTCCCATATACAGAATCCTTTGGGACTACAATAATGTCCACGGTAGCGTGGTCTCCGTCAATGTTCATTCGGAGTTGTCCGATTGCGCTGAACTAATTTTAAGTGATGAAATAGATTTTTTTTTTAATTGTCTCACAACTTACAGGACAAATCTGTCGCGGATCATTTCCCAAGTAAATATAAATTAATCATAAGTAAATAAATGTAATCAAGTTTTAGTTATATATATTTTGTTGTTAATGCCCTGTCGATTGCACCTATAATTGAGGTGACATCTGCCATGTCCCCTTGTCAGTTTTTCAATGTTTTTTATTGATGATCACTTGTTGGTGCAACTAAATAAATTAATTAATTAAAACCAAGTAGTGCCATCCGTAGCAAATTTCTCATTTCGTTCCAATTAACCGCAATTTCCGGGTAAATAGGGATTACACCTATTTTTGATTTTTTTGCTCAAACTGGAATGCTAGTTACGTAGTTTTAAATTGGACAACAAAGATGCCCCCAAGACTCAATCATTTTGGTCCTGATATAGCATTATATACATAAACAACTATCTTAAAATTGGTCATAAAGTTGGAATTTGTCCCTAATCGCCCCATTTTACCGGTACTTCACAGATTAGTAATATGTTGATCCACTAAGACAAACTTATTTTATAATATTAGCCAAACACAAGAGAATTGGCCAGCTACACTCCTATTCAGCTCGACAAAAATAATATTCAACAGTCAACTGAATTCAAGCTATTGAAGTCCCGGTTTGCTCCAGAGGTTTCGGTATTATTTTCACAAATCAAACTTTTCCTACAATCACTTCGTTACAATAATTCTAGAAATCAGAACTTCTTTTAATTTCCCCAAAAGATGTTGAACGCGACTATATAGGTTGTCCTCTAATACATTGTAACCATAGCTCTAATATGTAGGCCTGGCGGTGGCAGTGACATTGGCAAGTGGTCTTTAACAGCGTCTTTAATAGTAAGCTTTACATTTTGTGATGCATTGTATGTGTACCAAATCTAGATAATATATAAGTATACAACTCTTTTATATACGTATAGCTACTCAAAGCGTTCGCTACCATTCAGTGCTATAGTTGACGTGACAAACTCTAAAAATTGGATCACTATTTGAAAAATTTAATAATTTTATAGTTCTGATTTAAAAATATGATAAAGCTATTGATGATTTTTTCTTTTGTATCCTTTAGGATTTGATTCCCTCTTTTTTCTTATGGTACCTTTTTACTTAACTTACCTGTGTTATTATTTTGCCAAATGAAAGGATATCTCTGTTGGCCGTATAGTTTAGATTTACATAGACATGATTTGAAATGAATTATTTGAATTACAAGTCCGAGCTCGTAGTTCAATCTACAAAAACGCCGAAAACAGATTTTCGGCCTGTTTGTAGACCAGTACATTGTCTAGCGAAATAATAAATAGCCCCCGTCATGACTTACGCGAGTGTGGTGTTCGCTCACGCGGCCCGCACACACATAGACACCCTCCAATCTCTACAATCCCGCTTTTGCAGGTTAGCTGTCGGGGCTCCGTGGTTCGTGAGGAACGTTGACCTACACGACGACTTGGGCCTCGAATCAATTCGGAAATACATGAAATCAGCGTCGGAACGGTACTTCGATAAGGCTATGCGTCATGATAATCGCCATATCGTTGCCGCCGCTGACTACTCCCCGAGCCAGTCACCGTCGACGCCCTAGACACGTCCTTACGGATCCATCAGATCCAATAACCTTTGCATTAGACGCCTTCAGCTCTAATACTAGAAGCAGGCTTAGGGACCCCGGTAACCGTACTCGTCGAACTCGACAAAGAGGTCGACGTGCAACCTAACCTATGCATCAGCCCACTGAGTTTCTCGCCGGATCTTCTCAGCGAGTCGCGATTCCGATCCGGTAGTAGATTCATTCGCGAAGCAATTGCTCTTGAGTTGTTAGGTCTCCTTCGGAGGCGCACGGGCAGTTGTTAGCAAATCCCACCACTCCTGGCTGAGCCTTTGCTCGCCCACCTGTCCTGGTGAAACTGGAAAGGCCTTCGGGCCACCAGTAAACTTTCAACCATAAAAAAAAAAATAGTCACCGTTCTTATTAGTCACCACCATTGCCAAAGACACATTTAAGCCATTTCCTATCAGTGAGATTCTCGTCATACGGTACTTAAATAACAATTTGTACTTTAAGATTAAAATATGATAGACTTTAATAAAATGTTCGTTAGTTGCAATTAAAATGTAGAACTTCTATTTAATCGTATATTTTGACGCTGCTTCAAAAATAGTTACATATTTAAAAGTAAGATGGCAATACTATACATTTCTTCATTCTGTCAAATTATTAGGTGCGGCCATGTTGATCTGTAGCAAATAAAATAGAGTTATTTTGCTTTTAGGGAATTAAATTTGACACAATATGCCCAAATGCGACCTCAAGACGAGATATATTCCTGCGACGTTCGCCTGGACATTATTGTTGGGAACCACATCCCTGTTTTTTTATTTTCCGTGAGTACACAATGTCTTCAATTTGATACAAATTTTGTATTTTTGATTTCAGAACTTTCACGTAAAATAGACAATTTTTCTGTATTAATATATTACATCAACGTCTTGACCCTTTATCTAAAATGATTCAATCAATGTTAAATTCTTATTTACTATTTATATTCTAGTACAAAGTTTAAAATTTCTTAGAAGCCATGTTCACAGTAATTTAAGCTTTAATATTTACATTTGCATAATTAGACAAATTAAAACACGATTACAGTTGAACCATACGTATCAACAGTTTATGGGAAATTCACTAACCTCCAGCAATCTGTCTAAATTTGTGTAAACAAAAGACAATTTAAATACACAGGGTCTGAGTCAATGCATTAGTGACACTATCTATTGTTGTGTTAATTATATATTAAAACTTAGAAAGTGGTATAATTTGTAGGCAATTCGTATTACAGCAACATTGATATTAAAACGAAATCTTTGATCATTGAAAAGGATCTAATTTAAAAAAAAATTTACACTCAAATTTGAATACTGAGATTATAGTTCTGCTCAACAAAAATCAATAATAATTATAAACATAAGTAAAAAAAAAACCATCTGAAAAAATGAAATAAATAAATGAAAAATAAAATAAATAATCAATCATAATATCCTGAACTATAGAAAAGGAAATCAATATTTTTCTTCTTTTAAAGGATAAATATTTGTGTGTCTGACTGTGTAATTGAATCAATATTTTATTTAATATATAGCAATAATGACAGAAGAAGAATAAAAGTAAATGTGTATAGTAAATATCCTATATAAAATGTAAAATTCTACTTATTAATTAAGCATTCAAAGAATTGAACTAAACAATGTGTTGACTTTAAAATTAGGGAGGCATTTGTTGATTACATTTATTTGCTAAACTTAAACACCTTTCTCTGAATGTAATGTTTGAGCAAATATTAAGTCATATTTTTTTCTTGGCTCAATAGAAAGTTTAGTCCCATTCCTTTTTTTTTAAACCTTCATGTCACATTGATGGTATGCAAATTTTTTTACATTCAATTTGAAAATGGTAAGGGACTTTTTAACTATGATAAACTAAGATATTTAATTGTATTAAATCTACCATACACTAATAACTAAAATTATTACATTACATTTAGAAACATTTATCTCTCTCATTTTATTTTTCATTTCACTTGAAATCCAACTCTTATACTGTGGAAAAACCTCTCAACATAATAATATATCAATAAAAAACTGTATTACTAACTGAATTATGCAATAACACAGTATACTAACATGTGTTACTGATTGAATTCTAAAATGAAGAACATTATTAAAGTTTTATCAAATTTAATGAATTAATTGACATAATCATTCCTAAACATGTTAACGACAGTGATAGTATTTAATGATTCATACTAGAATTATTGTTTCTTTTGTATGCATGTGGGAGATATTTGAATAGCACTTTCCAGAACCTCTTAGAGTGCTCTTCTGAGCTCCTGACAGCTTTGAAACTACTAAAATAGAAATAAACCAGCCAATTTTTATTAAAATCATTTACGTTGTATCATAATAGGTGTTATAAGACTTTATTAGTTACGAGAGTCCCAGATTTCCATGAAATGCAGTTTAAAGATCACTTAATTTTATTTGTCTCGTTTGTTACCAGTGTAATTATTTATTGAAATTAAGTATAATGACTTCACTCATTTCGGCATCATCAAGGTATCATCATAGGTAGTGTGTAAATTCTTTCACTAATAGATATCTCATATATATATAGAGACATTCACTTCCAATTCACCGAGTTTCCAAGTTACAAAATAAAAAGTTTGTAGAAAATAAAAACAAAATTTTAATATGCAAGCAATTGCCCTTGGTTTTATAGAGCTCAACGGTATGATGGTTTTACTTATTTGCTTTTAAATACAGATTATTATAATTGAGTCTAATTTAACAGTAAAATTATGACATGTGATTATAGGCTGTTAAGCTCATCAATTTCATCAAGATCAGTTCAGTACTCTTTGTGTGACGTTTGAACAAATAAACTTGCCAAGAAATTATTCATAGTTTTTGGCACATTTATTTAATATCATATGTTTTCTTTGTAATTCTTAAATATGTCTCAATTCAGTACAATCATATAGTAAAGCCTTTTTAAGATATTTTTAGTAATATAGGTTGACTAAAGATGGTTTATGATTTTACCCATGTTAGATTTCTAATTTAAAAAGAAATGTAGAAATAAGATGTTCTATAAACTATCAGTTATTTCATATATCAGTTGGTACATGAAAGCCCAAGTAGTGAAAATATTAGTATTGATTAAATCAAATTTACCTAGCACTGCCCTGATCATGTTATTTAAAAAATATTTATCTATACTAATATATAAATCTACAGTGGTTTTTTCGGATGTACCGTTATAACTACTGAACCATGCATCCGATTGATTTGAAACTTTATATCCATGTAGAAAATACATGTACTTAATGGATAGGCTAATATTTATATGAGTGTTGGACTCCCTACACCAGTTGCGGGGGCGTTAATGATGAGTATCTTTGTGGGGGTGAGAAATAATAATGTCAATTTTAAATGCCCAGCGAAGCGGGCAGGTACAGCTAGTCTTTAATATATTTAATATTGACCAAATCTACATGCGAATTTTGTGCAACATTTTATCCATATCTATTCAGTCATTTTATGTGACTAGGTGACAAACATCCAAACGTACTAACTTTCATAACATTTATAAAATTAGTATTGATAATAATTAACATAGTTCTTTAGTAGTTCGTCTATCTCCCATAAGTCGTAAATTTAATAATGTGAGCGACATGCTGTCTAGTGATTGAATAATTTATGAACAACATGATAAGGAATTAAATTCTACATCAACAAAGATATCGAAATTAAACGTTGCTATAACTCAATCTTACACAAGCAACAAGTCAAATATGAATACAAAAAGTAAAATATTTTTTTTAAAGTATTTAGATATATGTTATAGTGGTATTATAAAATTTTGTTAAAAATCCGTAAATAATGAAGAAATGTAGTTTTCTAGGATACATGCCTGTTTATCAATTTTCAAATAACATATACAGTTATATTTAAAGATGCGTTTAAAGCAAGCAACGAGCGCCATTAATAATCTTTTTTTTTTTTTTATTGTTTAGATGGGTGGACCAGCTCACAGCCCACCTGGTGTTAAGTGGTTACTGGAGCCCATAGACATCCACAATGTAAATGCGCCACCCACCTTGAGATATAAATTCTAAGGTCTCAATCTATATTATTTGTATGAGTATTACACACACAAATGTCTTTTTTGCCATAGATGGGCAGTCTCCTTATGTTAAATGTCCGCGGGAGGTCATCGACACCAAAACGTAAATGCCGTCGGGTACTAAGCCAATTTACTCTTAGTTTATAGATAACCATACCACCAAATTGTAATTGTGTTCTTCACAATTAAACAATGAAAAAAGATTACATAAAGGTATTATGTATATATGTACGTATATCCAGCGAAGACATAAAAAAGATAAGATACGTCGCTTAGGGTTAGATGGTTAGATTAACTAATTATAGGGTGTGTTATTAGGAAGAGGAAAGGAGAAAGGAAGGTTATTAGACGAAGTGGTAGACCTAAGAAAAAATGGATGGATTGTATGAAAAACGATATGTGTAAGAAGGGAGTGAGCGAAGAAATTACATATGATAGAGGAGTATGGAAGGAGAAAAGATGTTGCGCCGACCCCAGATGACTGGGAGAAGGGCAGGAGAATAATAATGATGATATGAGGGCGTGTTATGAGCCCGCACGGGTATGTACCAGCACTCTGCCCATTTCTTAAGTGAAGCAGTAATACGTTTCGGTTTGAAGGGCGGGGCAGCCGTTGTGCTATGAAACTGAAAATCAACATCTCGAAATGAATGACGGAATTTCCGTTGATGTCAATGGGCTCCGATAACCCTTTAACATAACCGTGAGCTCGTTCACTTATCTAAACAATCAAAATAACGAGATCCTAATGGCAATAATGGTATATTCTGATATAATATAATATAATATAATATTATAAAGAGGAAAGATTTGTTTGTTTGTTTGTTTCGAATAGGCTCCGAAACTACTGGACCGATTTGAAAAATTCTTTTTCCATTAGAAGCCGACATTGTCCCTGATGAACATAGGCTACTTTTTTTTCATTTTTTTTATTTTATTTTTTTGTTTTCATGTGTGTTTTAATGTTTCCGAAGCAAAGCGAGGGCGGGTCGCTAGTATTCTGATAATACAGTTGAAGTTCCCGGCGTCTTTATGCATAACAATACCGCCGCGTACCTTGTGATATGATGTCGAAGTTTGTATTGTACAAGTATAACAGCTACGCACGCATATAAGATGGATCTGTTGCAAAATTTGTACAGGTGATACAAAATTTTAATACAATGTTATAAATATTAGGACCTCTTGGGAGTCCGCACGGGTAGGTACCACCACCCCGCCTATTTCCGTGAAGCAGTAATGCGTTTCGGTTTGAAGGGTGGGGTAGCCGTTGTAACTATACTGAAAACTTAGAAGGTGGGTGGCGCATTTACGTTGTAGATATCTATGAGCTCCAGTAACCACTTAACACCAGGTGGGCTGTGAGCTCGTCCACCCACCTAAGCAATGAAAAAAATTGTTCATAGCAGTAAAATTCCTTGCCTCCATATTATTATGTATTTTAATTGTGAACGAATATCGCCACTTGGGTCATGATATCGAGGTTTTCATTGAATAGAATTAATGACTGCTTCAGGGCAGAAATAAGCAGGGCAGTGGTGACTATTCCCACCGGTTTACTTTCCTACTACCAGCGTTTCAAGATGAGTGGTGGCTATCTCATTGTAATGTTTATGAGATCTCGTAACCATTTGATATCAGGTCGTTGGCTTAATGGTCTTTTATGGGAAAAAACGATTATATTTCATCTAGCCGCAATGACTGT